AAGAAGATTTAATCAAATCTTTTTGTGCATGTGACACTTCTACAAAATAAGAAGAAAATTTTCCATTTTGTTAAGTTTATCGTTTTCTGTATGTAAAAAATATCAGAATTGAAGAAAATTAAAAAAGCTGTGACCTTTCGAAAATAGAGATTTCAAATTTCAAGTCTTAAAACTCTTTTAGAATTTATATTTTTATTTTTTAATACAAAGTTACATCTATTTAAAATTTGCCTATTTTGTAGAAAATTTTTTTTGATTCCTTATTTTGAGGAGTGTAGTTTGTAATACGTAGCTGCTGATTGCAAATTACGTACTTTATTTATAAATAACTATGTGTTTCTTTTACATTAATTGATTCTTCTCGTTATTTTGTGCATAAGAGTATTGAAGTAAGATCATCGAAAAATAAATATTTTACGAGATACTTCATAGTTTCTGTGAAATTTTGTCAATAATTATAAAATATTTCGTAAACTATTCACTTTTTGGCTGTTACCTTTATAATTTTTTATCTATATTATGAATAAATATTATGAGGAATCGATTTATATAAAAATTTAAGGTGATTCCATTTAAAAAAAAAACATGTGACTATTAAATGATCTTGAAAATTGGCCTTTAGGAAAAAATTAATAGCATCAATTTTTTCACCCCCAAAAGCTGAACAATTTTTATTTGAAACATTTTTTTCTGAAACGCAACGCTTTTGGTATATATAAGCATATTTTTTTAATGGGACACTTTGTATATAACTAAGTATATTTAATTAATATAACATTATTAAATATTGAAAATATACATATGTAAAAGAGATAACAATGGTGGCATTAAAAACTAAAGTGCAACAAGTGAGGCGTATATAGTTTTTACTGTAAATTTAAATTATTGTAAATATACAATAATTTAAATTACTTAATGCATAATTTAAGTTATTGTAAATATACAATTACTATACAAATTAATTTTACATCTAAATTTCGTTTGCTTGTTTAATCTGGCTTATTATTTAAGCTATTAATTGTTTAAATTTTATACGAGCGGAATATTGAAAATTTAGTTATATTAATTAAATCCCTTTGAGAACATACCTTTAATAGAGGCATCGTCGTTTGATCAGCGAGAACATTCAATAAATGCTCGATGCTGTCGATCACACGAGTGATTATTTGTAGACTGAGAATAGTTGTAGCGCATTTAAGGAAGCGTGTTAGAATGTTTGCTGGCACATCTTGGATGTAACGACGCTGAGAAACCGACCGTACAATATTGTTATAATATAAAGCGGTAATAATATACATGTTCTTTTTCAGATCAGCTTCAACAAGTTCGAAAAATCTGCAAAACATTTAAATTTAATTAATTTAATTAATTTAATCAATTTAATTTTAGGTTTTTATTCTTATTTTTAATTATACAAATATATCAGGAGATTCTAATATATCAGGTTATATATATATGGTATATATATATATATATATATATAATAAATAATAATCCTTAAGGTTGCCAGTAATAATTAATAAAAAACCACTCCTCAACGTTTAAAGTCGACCAGACTGGCAATAATTTATTATGAATAATTATTTGACTGGCATTGTTTATCAAAACAAGCGTTAACATTGTCGGTTGTTTGCATAGAAGTTGATTTACTGTTTTAAATTTGATGTACTTGAAAAGGGCTGCAATGACAGCCGAAACGTTGTATTTCAAATAATTATTCATAATAAATTATTGCCAGTCTGGTCGACTTTAAACGTTGAGGAGTGGTTTTTTATATATATATATATATGTTTATGGGACGTTCCGCGTCAACCGGAACAGCTTTACGACCAAAATTGGGAACTAGCTAAAAAATTTCTCTTGGTCGGAAAAATTACTTTAATATATCTATTTTATAATATCATATGGCATTTTAGAAAAATCCATTATGGCAACCTCAAAATGGCTGTTTTATTAAAAAAAAATACATAAAATAATTTATTAATTTGTTGTGCACGAAAAATTATAACCTAAAAATTTTTTTACACTTTTAAAAATTGTATTAATGTATCCGCTTTAAGAAACCACTAAAAGTTTAAAAAAAGAGAACATGGATTTTAATATAACATTTCCCAAATCAAAAAATAGCAAAAAACAGCGTTTTCCTTATGTTATAACATTTTTTCTGAAGTTAATTGCTAAATGTCGACTAATTATTTTATTTTAATGATTTCTTAATTTTAATATATTTTGAATCTTAAATAAAACTTTTCTAGAGATATCCATCCACTAAACGCTAGAATACTTGTATTGCACACCATTGAGACTACGTAGGAAATTAATTAATGTAAGAGAGTATGTACCCTTTTACATTCAATAAATTACAAGATAAAAAATATTTAAAGTTTTCCGTTGCAACCTTACCTATATATGGAACATATCAAGTGAACCACCTTTATTACAAAAAAAAACAATTTTTTTTTATTTTTAATCATTTAATTCTTAAATTTAATTCTAAAAATTCTTAACATCCCTCTATTAAAACCTAAAAGTTACACCTGGAAAATAATGTTATTTTTTACGGTAAAAATAGCATCTTATTTTATCTTAATATGTCAGCTATGTGTTTAATCTCATACGAAGGATTTGGGACTTCGAACGCAAAAATTGCATACAATTCAAAGAGTTCTTCTCAGAATTCGAGTTCAGATGTTAAAAATTCAAAATGGCAGATCAATTTTATGCGATTTTAGTTATACCATATTCTTAAGCAGACATTTGATATCAAGATAGAATAAGATGTCATTTTTTAACCGTTAAAATTAACATTCCGAACATCTAGATTTTAGTGTAAAAAGGATACAATTTAGTTGTTAAAAATAAAAAAATGGTTGCTTTTCTGCAATAAAAGTGGCCTACTTAACATGGAATGCTCCTATTTTTTCTCAACACGAAAACTGGTGTTTTTGAAAAACGTCACCCGGCGTTTCAATCATTTTCATCAGAAAGTAGGTGCAAATAGCTAAATTCTAAGCCCTTGCACAATTGTTGAAAGTTAAACCAATTTTGGGGAGCGTAGGCTATCCGGTTGAGAAAGAATGTCTCATATATATCTACACACACACACACACACACACACACACACACACACACGCACGCACGCACGCACGCACGCACGCACACACATATATATACAGGGTGCCCCAAAAAGATCGAAACCCTGAAAAATCTAAAAAATATACAGAAAAAATATCACTTTTCAATTTATAACTAAAATATTTGTATTGCGCTGAAGAAGGCTTGAAATGTCAGCCGAAACGTTTGCATAATTGTTTATTTCTTATGTATTTATTTTCTCGTTTTAAATGCATTTTATTAATATTATCTACGCATAAATGTTTATTTCTTATGTTTTTATTTTCTCGTTTTAAATGAATGTTATTAATATTATCTGACAACTGCATTTTGTTTAATAGCTCTTATAGCCCTTCTTTGTTTACAATCATTAAGTTTGACAGAGCTAATTACTGTAGTGTACGCGCATGCGCAGCAGAGCGAGCGAGTGTGTGTAACGCACGACAGTACGCATAAAGCAGGAAGGACAATAAATAAAGTATATACTTGTGCCTGAAACTTGTGTGATTATTGAGAATACCCGAATATTACAAGTGGCGACGAGGAAGAAGAACTTGAGTGCCAAGAAGTAAATAAACAGGTAAAAGGAAAGAAAAAAAAAGTAAAGTAAATACCTCCGTGCATTGTCAATTGACGTCTATAAATTTGCTATAAAAAACAAGTTAGTTTAGAAGATAGATACAAATGACAATGCCGGAAGACTTTACTTACTTCTAAATGAATCATACATTACGAAATAAATTAATTACAAGTATGCAAAGGGCCACGCACATTGATTACAGCAAGTAACAAAAGGGCCACGCACATAAATAATGTCAATAACGCATGAAAGTGCAAACTTTCCGGGTACTACGGTTGCTTGACGAGATTATTATAACTAAAAAAAAAAAAAAAAAAAAAAAAATTCCGTCAGGTATAACGTATGTCAATCCTGGACAAGGGCCATGCAGTCAAAAGAACTGAAGGGCCACGCAATAAGAACAAAGGTTCTTTATGTTTCAATATTGTCGCTTACTTAATCATGACATTACAAGGGCCACGCAGATAAATCTGTTAGCAAATGCTAAAGGGCCACGCAACAAGAACAAAAGTTCTTTATGGTTCAATATTTCAAGGGCCACGCAAGGAAATCTGTTAGCAAATGCTATAAAGGGCCATGAAGAAAAAAAAAGAAATATATATTAAATTTAATTTCAGATCATCTAAATGGCTCAACTAGCCTCGACGCTGACAAGTCTCAATTGTTTTGATTGTGACGGTGACCCAGCTTCTGTAGGTATACGCTGGGAAAAATGGAAGAGAGCACTGGAAATATATCTATTAGCTTTGAACATAGATAAACCAGCAAATAAAAGAGCAACGCTTTTACACACCGGAGGACTAACTTTACAGGATATCTATTATAATATACCAGGAGCACACGTGGATGAAGCAGAAGGAGTAGACGTTTACAAGGTCGCACTTAATAAATTAGATGAATATTTTTCACCAAAACAAAGCAAGGTTTATGAAAGACATCTATTTAGACTGATAAAACAAGAAGAGAGTGAAAAATTTGAAAAATTCCTACTCAAATTAAGAAACCAAGCAAACAAGTGTAAGTTTACAAACATTGAAAAACACCTAATAGATCAAATAGTAGAGAAATGCAATTCAACGGAGTTACGGAAAAAAATACTATCAACAGGAGACAACATGACACTCGACCAGATTATTAGTAAAGCAAACGCGTTGGAAGCAGTCAGCAGACAACTAGAAATCTTTAATAAAAAAGACTTAACTCATCAAGAACGAAATAATAATAAAATCAACAAATTAGACTTTAAAAAGTACAAAAGTTCAAATAAACAAGCAAATAATAGGAATGCCGACGAGACTTGCTCAAGATGCGGCAGCAACAAGCATTCACAGTATGACAAGAGATGTCCAGCAAGAGATAAAAGATGTCTCAAATGCAATCTCTTTGGCCACTTCAGAGAATATTGCAGGACAAAACAAAAGAAAAAGATATTTGAAAAAAAGACAGAAACTAGACCTAAGAAACATAAGCAAGAAGACACTAAAACTGAAGAAGTAGACTATATTTTCCATCTGGATGAGGACTCGGTTATAAATTGTTTAGTGGGAGGAATAAAGATTGAAATGCTAATCGACTCAGGAAGCAAGTGCAATGTTATCACCGATAAGACCTGGCAATATCTAAAGGAACACGAGGTAAAGGCTTATCAACAAATAAAAAAGCCAGATAAAGTACTTCTGCCATATGGAAGTAAGAAACCTTTAGACATTATTGGATCATTTCAAGCAGATATCACCATTAACACCAATAATTCCCCACGGAGAGCGACTTTCTACGTTATTCGCAATGGGACGCGAAACCTACTAGGAAAAAATACCGCAATCGAGCTAGGGGTACTGCAAATCGGCCTTCAAATAAACGCCATCCAACCACTTCCGAAGTTCAAAGACGTCAAAATTACAATACCAATAGACAAAACCGTCAAACCGGTAATCCAACCATATAGAAGGATACCGATTCCTTTAGAAAATAAAGTTAACGAAAAACTGGCGGAACTGAAGGATTCCGACATCATTGAAAAGGTTCACGGACCTTCACCATGGGTATCGCCGATGGTACCTGTATTAAAAGAAAACGGCGAAGTACGTATTTGCATCGACATGCGACGTGCCAAAAAAGCAATAATAAGAGAAAACCACCCATTGCCTACGATGAACGAGATGCTACCAAACTTTAGACAAGCGAAATATTTCTCCCGATTAGACAAAAAAAACGCATTTCATCAAGTAGAGATAGACCCTGATTCTCGGTACATAACAACTTTCAGCACCAGCAAAGGGCTTTTCCGATATAAAAGACTAATGTTTGGGATATCCTGCGCCCCAGAGATATTTCAAAAGGTTCTTGAAATAATGCTTCTAGGATGCGAAGGCACATCAAACTTCATCGACGATATAATTGTGTACGGACAAGATGAACTTTCCCATGATAAAAGGCTGAAAAAAGTATTGGAAGTCCTGAAGGAAAATGACGTTCTGCTGAACGAGAGGAAGGGCATTTATAAAACCAAAAAGGTAGAATTTCTAGGACATGAATTATCGGAGGAAGGTATAAAAGCCCTAGGAAAATACATAAAAGTAATACAAACCAGTCGATGCCCTACAACCATCGAAGAGCTCCAGAGTTTCTTAGGTTTGGTGAATTTCGTAGGTAAATGGATACCGAACCTGACTACCTTAACAGAACCGTTCAGGAAATTACTACGCTTAAAATTAAACAAAACAACAAATATTCAAAAATACTGGACATCAGATCAAAATATAGCGTTCCAAGACCTAAAAGAAAGCCTATCAAAAATAAAAACGCTTGGTTATTACAACCCGGACGATAAAACGCAAGTAATAGCAGATGCTTCCCCAGTCGGTTTGGGAACAGTACTCATTCAGATCGATTCCAATGGCCCCAGAATAATAGCATACGGGAGCAAAAGTCTTACGGACTGCGAAAAAAGATATTGCCAAACAGAGAAAGAAGCACTAGCTCTCGTGTGGGCAGTGGAACACTTTAAAATATATCTCTTCAGGAAAGAATTTGAACTCATTAGTGACCACAAACCCCTGGAGATAATATTTGGACAGAGATCCAAACCATGTGCCAGAATAGAAAGGTGGGTTTTGAGACTACAGGCGTTTAAATATAAAGTCATTTATCAACCAGGCAAATCCAACATCGCGGATCCATTATCAAGATTATGCAAGACAAACACACTAAAACCATTTGACAACGAAAATTATATAAATCAGATTGTCGAATATAGCACACCAATCGCAGTACCGCTGAAAGAAATCGAAGCCGCTTCTTCAATCGACGGAGAAATCCTAAAAGTAAAAAATGGCGTATATAACAACAGCTGGACGAATCGGTTAGAAACTATAAAATTTTTCAAGCGGAGTTATGCTTCAATGAAGACATTCTTTTACGAGGCAATAAAATAGTCATCCCACCACCATTACGACAAAGAGTATTAGAAGCCGCTCATAAAGGACACCCGGGAATAGTTGCAATAAAGAATCGACTTAGAACGAAAGTATGGTGGCCGAAAATAGATAAGGACGCGGAGAACATGGTTAAATCATGCAAAGGGTGTACACTAGTCTCTGCCCCTAATCCACCAAACCCCATGAGAAGAAGGGAACTTCCGAGCATGCCATGGATAGATGTAGCATTAGATTTTTTGGGCCCCTTGCCCAGTAATGATTACTTACTAGTCATCGTAGATTATTACAGTAGATATAAAGAGATAAAAGTTACAAGAAATATAACGGCAATAGACACGATCAAAATCCTGAAAGAAATTTTCTCACGGTTGGGGTTTCCCGCGACTCTAACTTGTGACAATGGAAACCAACTCACAAGCGAAACATTTAAAAAATACTGCACTGAATGCGGGATTAAGCTATATCACACCATACCATATTGGCCTCAAATGAATGGAGAGGTAGAGAGACAAAATAGAGATATACTAAAAAGACTCAAGATTAGTCAACTAGAGAAAAAAGACTGGAAGGAACAGATATTTACATACTTAATGATGTACAATAGCACACCTCATCTTACAACAGGGAAATCGCCGTCGGAATTATTTTATCAAAGACAATTTCGAGACAAAATACCAGCTAAGATGGACATTGAAAATAAAATAACAGACCAAGAAGTAAGAGACAAGGATAGAGAGATGAAAGAAATAGGAAAAGAATACGGAGACCGGAAGAGAAGAGCTGCAGATAACAACTTGGAAGTAGGAGAAAAGGTATATGCAAGAAATATCAATAAAGAGAATAAACTAACTTCGAACTTTAATCCTACCACCCACACGGTAACAGAAGTAAATGGAGGAGATATCAAAATAAAAAACGACTCTACGGGTAAAGAGTTTAGAAGAAATATTATGCACCTAAAAAAAGTAAATGGAGAATGGGAGATAATAAATGAAATACAGATGAACTAATTATAATGTACGAATCTATTCTATCTTACTATAACTTTATTGCAATGTAATTTTATTTTATCTTATTTAATTTTATATTGGTTGATTCTATCTTACTTAAACTCATTTCAATTCAATTATTTAATTGTCTACTATTAAAAACATATGTACTATCAAAAATAAAAATAAAGAAGGGATGTAGTGTACGCGCATGCGCAGCAGAGCGAGCGAGTGTGGGTAACGCACAACAGTACGCATAAAGCAGGAAGGACAATAAATAAAGTATATACTTGTGCCTGAAACTTGTGTGATTATTGAGAATACCCGAATATTACAATTACTATTTTTATTTAATATACGCTAGGCTGAAAGATGCGTGACTATCAATATTCATTTTTTGCACATATTAGTTATTTTTATGGACAAGAGGCGATGAACATGTTAAAATTATGGTTAAAGTATGAAAAAAACCATTATTGTTGGTAAATTGATGATTGGTTTCTTACGTAATTGTAAAAAGCATGATGTTTTTCCGACACATATACTCTCATTATATACCCAGCAAACACAATATATAAATGTTATATACTCAAGCATGTTACATGTAACGTATATGTTAGTTGTAATTTCCCACTCATAGATGTAACATTTTTAATATTACATATATTACATTGTAGTTATATTGTCATTATATCCCATGATAGCACTGACTTATCAATACATCAATGTGCTATTTGGTATATAATTACAATATAACTACAATGTAATATATGTTATATTAAAATGTTACATCTATGAGTGGGAAATTACAACTAACATGGATGTTACATGTAACATACACGTTATATTACCTGTTATATTCCGTTTTATTGTAGCAATGTAACAAAAATATATCGGTGTTTGCTGGGTATACTCAATATTTAAAAATTATGAACACAGTATAACAAGTCACAGGTCTTTTTGTAGATTTGATCGCATTAGGGAGATTTTCTGTAATAAACTGTTAAAATTAGAAATTGACGACACATATGACACTATTAGGAAATCACAGACACATATTATTAGCATATTGAGCTCGATACATTATTATATTCTAGAGATGGTATGCATTGAGTTTTTTAACCGTCAAAACAAATCATTGTTTCATTTTTTATGAACAGACGCAATGTATTTGAGAAGAAACTTGAATTTATGTTAAAAAAATTCAAAAAAGATTCCTCATTAAACCAATTAATTATCATTGTACCACTAAAGCTAAAAATATAAATAACAATAATAAAAACACAATAGAATATTATTACCAGATAGGAAATAATAGTTACAATTTTAATCCTAGTTTGAAAAATAACTTTGTAAATAAACAACAGAATTTAACGGATAAAGGAGAAGAATTTGTAGTAAATGTAGATCCTAATTCTTTTCTAGATTCTAATCCAAATCTTTCTAAAATTAATAATAATTGGTTCATTAATTTATCAAACACTACGATACCGGACAATATAATTAGTCTTCTTCAATTGGGTGAGAACTTTAGTCTTCCGAATAATAATAAGGTACAATTAACTATTGATTTTATAAAATATTTTGAAAATAATCTAAAAAAACTGCCTCCGGATAAAAGAGTTTTTGTTAGAGAAAAATCTAGGAATGTTGTGAATGCGATTAATCAGTACCAATACCCGGACAACGGTTTTAATAAAACATTATTAGAGTTGAGTATAAACACTAAAAAATTTTTAGATGAAAATCCAAATCTTATTATCACGAAGGCTGACAAGAGAAATATTACGGTGGCGTTGGACAGAGATAAGTATATAGAGGAGGTTGAAAACATTTTTAAAGACAGAGACACTTACATTTTGATAAGAAAAACCCTACTAATAGTATAGTTTCCAATCTACGTGATCTTTTAGGGAGATGGAAAAATAAAGGTTTTATATCTTTTAATACTTACAAGTATTTATCGTGTAGTGATGGTAATCTTCCTAGAGCTTATGAATTACCGAAAGTGCACAAAATCAATTGTCCCTATAGGGTTATCGTCTCGTCTATTGACACACCACTGTATAATTTAGCAGATTTTTTTACACAAGATATTAATAAAAAGTATTCCAAAGACTAGTAGTTATACAGAAAACAGCTTTAAATTAGTGGAAAAATTTTCTACTTTACAGTTAACAAATAATTCAAGTTTAATTTCATTGGATGTTGTGTCACTTTTCACTAATATACCGGTAGACTTAGTACTGGAAGGTTTATCGGAGAGATGGCAATTCATTAGTGATAACTGCAATTTCAATAAATCGGAGTTTTTGAATGGCATTAGTCTAATATTAAACTTTACATTTTTTACTTTTAATGATACTATATACAAGCAAACTTACGGAACTCCGATGAGTTCCTCTCTTTCCCCCATAGTCGCCGATATAGTGTTACAAGATTTGGAATCCAAGGCTCTAAGTTTACTTAACTATAAACCGGTTTTTTTCCATAGATATGTAGATGACCTTATTTTGTCAATACCGAATAACTATATTGAACATACGTTACATACTTTTAATTCATTACACCCACGTATACAATTCACTATTGAAAAAGAAGAAAAAACCATAGTTTAAGTTTCTTGGACATCAAGTTAATATCTACAGATAATAAAATTATATGTGATTGGTTTAGAAAGCCAACGTTCTCTGGAAGGTACTTGAATTTTCTTTCGCAACACCCTATATGTCAAAAAAGAGGCACAATCATCGGTCTGATTGATAGGGTAATTTTATTATCACATCCTTCATTTACCAAAAAAATATAGAAATGATTAATTATTATCTTAATAAATGATAATTATCCTGTAAAATTCATATTTGACATAATTAACGATAGACTAAAAACTCTATTTTATACTAAAAATAATATTAAAAACAACAGTCTAAATCAGTCAAATAACTCTTCTTTGTTTTTTACTGTACCTTATTTACCGAATATTACAGAACAACTGATAGGTATTACAAAAAAAGCTCACACTAGACTCTCGTATGTAAACATGAATAAATTAGGGAAATTTATAAAAACACATAAAGATAAAATACCTAAAGGAGCGAATACTAATGTAGTATATAAAATTAACTGTAAAAATTGTGATGCCTCATATGTGGGTCAGATTGGCAGAAAATTGAATACTAGGATAACGGAACATAAAAAACACATCAACAGAAAGTGTTCTAATAAATCGGTTGTTACGGATCATAGATTAGAGTTCTTCCATGATTTTGACTGGGGTAAAGTAAAAATTTTAGATAAAGAACCTTATTATAATAAAAGACTAATATCGGAAATGTTATTTATAAAAAGACAAGCTAATGGATTGAATCTACAAACTGATACGGAATTTTTGCCTGACATATATAACAACATTATAGAGTCTCTGCCAAAATTATCAGGGTTTATAAACAAATCTTGATATAAGAAGGGTAAAACACTGAGGTATTTTCTCATTTGAGATCTGAGAGTTGTGATGGTTTAACATTCTGTTTTGTCCTCTGCAAAAAAACCTTGTTAAAAGGATGTCGGATCTGATACGTGAAACTTTTGTGAAATTATCACATGTTGTTAAACAAGTCATGTATAACAACCACTGTTTCTGATACATACTTTGTTCGAGCGAACGCACCATGCAATCACCCATGAGAATAGACTTCCTGATTTACTGATCAAGGGAGATATCTTGATTGAATCCTCTTGATGAAATGTTGTTAAACATTAATTGATTTGTTTGAGTGAGTGTACAGTGCATTTTACTTATCAGACTGTAACGAATAATCGGATATTGTTTATTTAGATCTTAATTTAATGTTTAACAACATTTCATCAAGAGGATTCAATCAAGATATCTCCCTTGATCAGTAAATCAGGAAGTCTATTCTCATGGGTGATTGCATGGTGCGTTCGCTCGAACAAAGTATGTATCAGAAACGGTGGTTGTTATACATGACTTGTTTAACAACATATGTATTGAAACAAAAAACTGACTTCATATATTTATTATCTTGACTTTGTTAATTACCGTCTTTATTATTTATTATTACTTTTCAATTTATAATTAAAATATTTGTATTGCGCTGAAGAAGGCTTGAAATGTCAGCCGAAACGTTTGCATAATTGTTTATTTCTTATGTATTTATTTTCTCGTTTTAAATGCATTTTATTAATATTATCTACGCATAAATGTTTATTTCTTATGTTTTTATTTTCTCGTTTTAAATGAATTTTATTAATATTATCTGACAACTGCATTTTGTTTAATAGCTCTTATAGCCCTTCTTTGTTTACAATTATACAGAAAAAAGTTTCCAACAAAAGTTGTAGTTTAAGAAAATCTATTTATTGATCTTATCAGTTTGACTTTGGACGAAATTACCAAGGTCAGACTAAGGTCATCTTGAATTTCTTAAATATAACCCTATATTTTTTATTACATATTCTTATAGCTTACTTCGAGAGCTTTTTAAAAACACTATAATTAAGTTATTTTGTATTACACGTGCAGGCAAAGTAGCACTTTGTGAGCGTGTTTTCTGTGCGGAAAACGGCCGATTTCCCACGCCGCCATCTAGCGGCGACGCGGTGAGTAAATAAGCCGCGTTCAAAGCCATTGCCTACGGCTGAGCCACGGCTGAAGCCGTGGGCAATGACTTTGAACACGACTATTCCCGCACCGTGCCGCCGCAAGATGGCGGCGTGCGATCGGCCACCTCGCGCACAGAAAACGCGCACAAAGCCACTTTGCCTGCACTTGTAATACAAAATAGTATGTGTATCACGTGCAG